AAGCCCCCTTTGGGAGCAAGGAGCATTTAGGGCTTACCTTAACCCACGAGCAGTTGACTGTTTGTTGGGCCGCTATGAACTCCGTGTCGGTGAAAAAGTATGATGGAAGGCCAAAAAGGGGGTTTAAGATTCTTGGGGTAGGGATTCCTTAATATGAACCCTATTATGGGAACCCTAATCCCTACTAAACCCCCACAGGCTAAAACCCCTCTTGGCCTCCTATGAAAGTAGGTTTTGGCAGGTTGAGGTAGGGTTTCGGCCTCCACTTTCGACAGAGCACTGGAAGACACCGAGGATGTATGTCCTGATGCGGTCTGTGCATTGTCTCCGGCATCTTAACATGTAGGGTTCAGCAATTACTTGGGAACCGGGGAATCTGCCACACGCTTAAACATCAAGATGTCTGAATTACGACGGGACACACGAGCTTTAGGTATGTATGATGTATGACATGGAGCTTCTAATATGTCGGCTTGAACCATTCGAATAAACATTTCAAAGGTTTCGATTGAAAATTGTTAAGGAACCGTGAAAAAATCATACATCTACCAGTTACATTATTAGCTTGGCTTAAGCTTACGGGCATTCGGAGCTTTCGGCTAAGAAACACCCAAATATTCATAACATCCTTTGATAATCAGTGAATGTTTATACTATACCTTACCCAAACTTCCACTCTAGTTATATCAGGGCCCCACATTGATTCTAGACTGCACTGTGCTTGCAGCCCCTTCGAATGACGTTTTTGCTCCTTGCTGTCCTATACTCTAAGCGTTTTTCGAAACGGACAAGCTCAGTGTTTACGTGTACGGGGCTTTGGGCTTTAGGCTTCGAGGGCTTGGAATTCGGGCCACATGAAGCCCGTCTTAGCTGTCGAAATGCTCGGCCGGGAAAGACTAGGCTTGCAGTCTCACAGGCAGCTATCTACATTGCTGTGAACTTCGAGCAACTTTGACATTGCGTGCTTACCGCTGACCCCAACCCGAATCACAGTATACCACAATTGGTGGCTTGAAGTCTGGGATGTAGAGCCCCCTTTTTCGATGGCACCTTTAACATGTTTTGGGCTCTAGGACGCTGTATCTCATAGGATTTCAGGATTAGGGCTTTCTGATGATTGAGAGCTTAGACGGGGTATGGGTTTAGGGCGCAGGGGTGAATTTGAGGCTTTCTCAAACTCGGGGCTTGATAAAAGAGGGGCCTTGATAATTAGAATATGGTTTTGGAGCCCACTATACTATAGGTATAATGAGGAGCCCCCAGAACAGTATTGGTAATCATCTAGGCCCCTATAGTAAGGCCTTCAGCTTGTGATGTTTGGGGCTTTCAGGGGTAATGCTTACTTATTACACAAACCGTGGCAGCAATAAGTCGAAAAAACGGGTTTAGGGATTAGGGGTTAGGGGTTTATGCGCCAAGAAGTCCCGAAGCATACCTATGGCAGGCCCTGTGCACCCCTGACTTCTTTCTGCGGGGTTTAGGGTTTAGGGTACGCAGCTGTAGCTCAGATTTAGAGCCCCTTGTTGTGATTTCTTGACATAGCTCTTAAGGAGGCAAGGTCCTTTTAGGTATTCAGGACCGTTGTTATATAGGGGCCTAGTGTTGCCTTCATCATGTCAACTATTAGCATAAGGCCTTTCATGTGGGCTTCACAAAGTTTTGTAGGGTTTAGGCAGTTTTATAAGGTTCAGTAGGGTCTAGGGTTTAAGTCCAGATCTTTACACCGGGGCTCAAAATAGCCCAAAAGCCTGTAATATATTGTGGTCTTTGAGCCCAAAAAGCCTGAAATACATGAGTCCTCAGACTCCTAGGGTCAGGTGCTACCTGGACCCTAAGGCACCTACCTTTTTTAGGGCTCCCTAATATGATTTCTTTATGTAAGACCTTAAAAAGGTAGGCTACTTGGGGTTCAGGTACACTCTAAATCCCCAATTCTCCACAGGTATAAGTATCATAACCCCAATTAGGATCCCTCTTAGGGTACTTATAAGTCTACTTATAATCAGCAGCCATGTGGCTCGACACGTGCGGGGCTCGCAGGCGGAGAAGGGAACCCGGGCCGCAGTGGTGTGGCACCTTGTCGGGCTCAGGCTTTCTAGACTGACGTGTCGGGTATCCAGGGTTCCTTTAAAGGGATATATAGGGCTCCTTTAAAGGGATATATAGGGTTCCTTTAAAGGGATTTATAGAACTTGTGGGGCTTCTTAAGGGTAGTGGGTATCGTGGGGAACTAAAGGCTAACCTTTCTGGTTTTCTAGGGGTTATATAGGGACTATACTACCCCAAAAAAGGTTACCTACTCTACTACTAGGTGGAGCTTTCGAGTTTCAGGGTTTTAGAGTTTTAGGGTTTAGGGTTTAGGCTTAGCGGCTTTTAGAGCTTTAGGGTTTTAGGGTGTTTGGGGTTTGGGGGTATTAACGCTTTAAGAGCTTCAAGACTCTAGGGTATCACAGCTTCCGGGCTTTGGGTTCGAGGACCCTACGGTAGAAACCCAAAAGTTGGAAACCCAATAGCCTCAATCCTTAATACTTCAGATTAATGTATAGGGAATCCCAGCACTATTTGGCCTTAATTCGGTTGCCAATTTTATGGAGTTCACTGTAAGCCCTGAACTGGCCCGTCGCCCTCCCAAAACCCAAACTCTGAACAGTAAACCCGCGCGCTAAAGCCTGATCGCAAACCGTAAGAGAAGCCTCAACTCTACAGTAAACCCCATAAAGTTGGAAACCGGATTAAGGCCAAATAGTGCTGGGATTCCCTATACATTGCTGTTGAGGATTGAGGCTATCGGATCCCAACTGGGTTTCAGGCTGACTTCGGATCACAATGACTCCAACATCCATTAATTGAGGAACCATACATTACAGTATATTAGGGATCCTATGATAATTTCAGGAGGATTCCTTAATTAAGGGATATTGGAGTCCCTGGGATATGTGTGTGTGTGTGTGTGTGTGCATGCTTTCCGGGCTCAAGGGCGCGGGGCATCCGAATTCCGGTGTTTTGCGTTTAGAGAATGGGATTTACTGCAATGGCAGAATCCTGAATGATTACCAATACTATTCCTAAAGGTTGCGTTTAGAATAGACTCAAAAGAAAATATACACCAAAACTCTATTCTAGATATTGACCCACTTCTTGTTCGGCAATATTATTCGGATATCCTAACTATAACCTTACCGAAAAGTTCCTTACAAGTCCCTTGAGCCTCTAAGAAAGCAATGTGGGCTTCCCGGAGCGAGGAAGCTCTCGGCTCAACGCTATGCTACCTGGCCCTCAATTAAGCAAATTAGGGTTCCTTTATTGGCTCCTTTAATGGGTTTCTAAAGGTTCTCTATAGGGGCCATTTACCCCTATTTTAAGGAGTATACCTTAACCTATAAGGGGCTCCATATGAGTCGGCGTCAAAATTACTTGTTGATGCTGCTTTTGGTTTTGAATCAGCGCGTCCCCTATCGATCCTCGAGGTTTTTGCCTCGTGCACCTGCAGGGAGCATACGACTAAGTAGACTTGTTAAGCGATATGAGATGTACTGGGAGTTACTGCCTTTCCTGAGTACAAACGACGAGTTCCAGGAGAGAAGAAAGGAGAATTAGTAGTAGTAGTAGTAGTAGTCGTCGTCGTCGTCGTAGTAGTACTAGTACTAGTACTAGTACTAGTACTAGTACTAGTAGTAGTAGTAGTAGTAGTAGTAGTAGTAGTAGTAGTAGTAGTAGTAGTAGTAGTAGTAGTAGTAGTAGTAGTAGTAGTAGTATTGGTGGTAGTGGTAATAGTGGTAGTAGTAAAAGTCGTAGTAGTAGTTGCAGTGGCAGTAGCAGTAGCAGTAGCAGGAGCAAGAGCAGCAGGGCGTCTTCCCCATGACATGGCAAGACCCTCGCAGGCAAGCACACTTTCAAGTGCGACAAGTACCTAAATGAGCCGTGGGGTTGTTTAGCACGTTCTTGATGCGTTTGGGGTATCGACCGGTTATCGATCTGGTTGTCGATCCATATCTGACATGAAACCTGAAAACCTGCAGAACGTATGCAGAACAAGCTTTCAACGCACAGGTTTACAGCCCTTTCCGAAACAATCCGCACACAAGTTTAAGCTTCGAATCGATGGACGTTCCGTGCACGCATCTGAAAGCTTCCGCGTCGGCCGCTTTGCCGTAGGCAAAGACTATTAGGCAATACTTTGCATGCTTATTCCGCTTCGAGGGGTAGCTCAAATCCGAGTACGGCGCATGCTTCTGCTAGCCTATCTTATCATGGGTTATCGTTTTAGCGCGTCCCCTGTCGATCCTCGGGGTTTTGGCACAACAACTACCCTCTACACTAAAATACATAAACGATACTTTTGACCATAACTCATATCATGATTTCTGCTATATTCCTCAATTAGCGGGTATTGGGCTATCTGGGTGAGAGGTCGAAAGCGGGTTTAGAAGGACAATGGCACAGGCGACAGGCCTTATCAAGTAGAATAGGGTTTTGGGATGTTCTGGGGTAGTAGAAGCATAGTAAGGATAGCATTTCGGCCCTTACAAAACTCAACTATCGGCACACTCCTCACGACATATACTTCAAGGGTCATGGGGCTTAGTAAGTAGGTTATAATTGGGGTTATCAGTCCCCTAAGTGGGGTTATCCTAATTAAAAACCTACTTATAACCCTACTTACTAAGTCCCATGAGCCTCTTTAAGTAGACCCTAAACCCTAAACCCTTGAAGGAAACTATTGTCGAACCCTATATAGTATATACCCTTCAAAAGAGCCCTAAACCTACTTACTAAGTAGAATGGCCAACACCCCTTGATTTTGCTCCTGGCCTCCGCATCACATCAAATTGGCTGTGCAAAGCAGAACGACGCGCTCGCAATGGCAGAGCTGGAGCACATACTGTAGGGGCTTTAATAATTAGAATAGATTGTTATGGGGGGAGTTCCCTATTATAGTCTTAATTTAATATACACCCAAACCCTATTCTAATTTTTCAAGGCTCCTATAATAGGGAGCCTCAAAAGGTCCGCCGCTTCTTCTTCGGTGCCGATGTATCAGATGCCGTTGCCGCATGGCCTAGAAATTTCTCGAGACAAGGAGGCAGTTCCCCTTTCTCTGACATCTGTCGCAATGCATTGCTGTTCTGGGCAAAGGCGGCGCAAAACTTCTCGAGGCCGGTCAACCCCTTGAAAGTGGCCGCCGACGCAATGTCGACAAAGCTTGAATCGGTGATCATTCCTTGTAGGATCTCCTCCAGCACTCGCACCACACTCTCCACCTGCCAGCGATGGGCGAGGTCCAAGGCTTCAATTGCAGACTTATGGTCCACCTCACTGCATGTCGAGCTTGTGTACACAAGGTCCAAGAAGAGCGACACACCGGCAGCGGAAGAGTCTTTGACCTGAACATGCTTACTAGCACCTTCCGCCATGCAGGACATCAACATCGCCGAAAGCACGGGAGAGCTCGCCCTGAGCGCAATATCGTGTGCTGTCACGGGGCCATCGGCAGTGTCGAAAGTGACGTTGTGGGTGTCGGTCATTCCCCTGATCGCTTCCCAGCGATCGATGACACTCTGGTCAACTTGAACTTTCGTCCGCTGCACGTTCGCACGGGAAATGATGGACACGACTTCTGCGATGTAGGCAAGCAGCTCTTCTTTGCCTTCGTACTTGAGAGAGTGTCTACGAAGTAACAATGCATAGGAAAGGAGATTGTGCCCCTTCCGTGCTATGTACACTTTATCGGTGCTATCCTTTTCTTCTCGCCCCCTAATTGTTCTGTACAGTGCGGTGCTGCCCTCCGCCGACACTCGGTGATGGGGATCTGCTCCACAATATATCATCCACTCGATAATCTTGAGGAGCTTTGTCCTGACATCGTGATTGTTTCTTCCTTTCGCACCTTCCTCAAATGCAACAAATAGGGGTGGTACTTGCACATCGTCCGGTCGGAACCACTCGAAGTTTGGCGGAAGAATCTTCCTTGTGCGGCCAATGCGTTACCACATGGAAACACATATTGAGTCATAGGCCATTGTGTCTCGACTGGTAAGCCTTAAGCAAAAAACGAACCAGAATGACAATGGCAAAAGCTTGGTCTTCATGATAGCTACAGAAATACCCAACATTGCAATTAGTCGAATCACAGCACGTGTGAGGCTTCTACAATAGAGTTTGACCATCTACCAAAGTGACTAATCTGACGGTGGATTACAAGCAGCACCATGGCATGTTGCCTTTTCCATGTCATACTACAGTCAGAGAATCAGTACTACTGCATTATCTTCGCGGTTCATGTCCAATACAGCTAGGCATGACAATTGTACACCTCTCGGCCATCGTCGTCATCGCCATCATCAACAATGTCGTCATCAGCATGAATCAGACGACATCAGCAAAATCGTGTTTTCTCAGTAGTATGGCTGAGATGACTCCGCTACGAAAATTGCTTCTGGCCCTTCTCACCCTAAACCCTAAACCGGCTTTAATGTGGGGGCCTCGGATCCGATTCCTAATAAACTGTAAGAGCCCAGAAAGCTTAAAGGTTGGGTTTGGGGGATCTAGGTGTCCATTTTGGGTCCCTTAAACTTCTTCGATCGCTGTGCCGTTGAACTTCTGGACATTGTAGCCTTGTAGCGAGGACGGCTGCTTTTGCGGTCTTTGCCAAGTCGGATTGCATCTTTTACTTTCGCTATTCGGGTTTAGGGTTTTGGGTTTGTCGGGTTTAGGGGTTTAGGGTTTAGGGTTTAGGGTGATACTGCTACAAATGATTAGTGGCTGCATCTTTATGCTTACCACCCTGAATGTGGTTGCGTAGCATAGCTAAGAAGACGGTTATAAGTGCTCGAGCTGCAGACATGCTTTGTGTCATAACCTCGTTCAGTACGGCTGCCAGTGCAGTTGAGTTTCTGAAGCGCAGTCAAGTCTGCAATCTTCACCAATCCCTCCACAATCTCTCGTTGACGGTCCGTTTCCACTCGGTCGCCCATGGCCAATGATGGACAGAAATGTGTATGCCACAACGCCCTCGCGCTTACTGTGAAGCCCAAATCGAAAAACGTAACAATCAAAACCCCTCAGTGCGGAAGACTCTCGAGGAATCTGCCGCACTTCGGTTGGAGAATGTCAGCCAATGCTGTTGCTCATGGGCTACCTTACTTCCTACGTCACACGAGAGTCATGAGAAGCAAAACATTTCATGCCAAGCCGTGAGGAGGGAAGAGTGCAGGGTGCTGTCTGGGCCGGCGGCTCGAGGTGGTGTAGTATTATGCCCATGCGGATCCATTTACCTATCTAGTGAACACTTTGAACCGGCAGTACCCATTAAGGAACCAATTGAAGGCCAACGTATTTTGCATACAGATACATGGGCCCTCAGAGTTACTAACCTAACTTAGGGCACCGAAAGCCTCCGCAGTTGAACGATCGAAAACTTGCAAGCTACGTTGGAGACCTTCTGTAATGAGGGAGCGCGGCACAGATGCGAAGGAGATGCAGGCTGTACTTAAAGGAACACGGGACTTAGTAAGTAGTTTATAACTGGGGTAATAAGTGGGTTATCCTAATTATAACCTACTTGTACCTGGACCCTAAGGAGCCTACCTTTTTAGGGTTCCCTAATATGATTTCTTTATATAAGTCCTTAAAAAGGTGGGTTACTTGGGGTTAAGGTAACCTGACTTACTAAGTCCCATGAGCCTTTAAGTATAGGATCCTTCTACCTGGACGCTACAAAGTGGTATCCTTTCTTGGTCGCCTTAGTCTCTGATTCTATCATCCTAACTGTGATTCAATGAAACAGGTTATCCAAAGAATCACTACCTTCGAGGTCCTGGTTCGATGGATGTTGAAACACTCCCATGTTTCACTTCAAGTGAGCAGGTAAGTGCGACCTTGATATTCAAGCCCCAAACCCGAAAATGGTATAGTAGAAAGAACGTTAGTATCCTCATGCCCTTAAGGTAAAGTATAAGGGATCCTAGCACCCTAAACCCTAAACCCTGAACCCTAAACCCTTAAACCCTAAACCCCTAAACCCTAAACCCTAAACTAATCCTCCTAAACCCGTGTTCCAACTTTCTGGGATTCGCTGTAAACGCGGCCGCCTCCAACACTCCTAAGGTTGCATAGTCTTCCCTTACGTAACATAGAGCCTTAATACTAAGACCAGGGTTCCTTTAAAGGGTTCCTTTAAAGGGGTCTATAAGGGATCTCTAGCAGGGTTCTATAATATAGAGGCTTGAATCATTAGAAAAGGGTTTTGGGGCCCATTATACTATAATTATAATAAGGAACCCCCAAAATAGTGTAGGTAATTATTTAAGCCCCGAAAATAGTTCCTATGTACTGTTGATGGTATAAATCCTGCATTACCCATAATAAGGAGTATACCATCATTCCCATAGTCTAGCTCATTAAGGCAATGCAAGATATTTATCATCAGCCGTAGTTGCCAAATGTTCGCTTGAAAGGCTCATCTGGTTACTCGAAACGAATCCTTACCATTGTAGCGAGGCCCTCTACTTAACTGGAATCTCTCGAAATTACTACAGAGACCCCGAATAAAGGGACACCTTACCCCCAAAACTCCTAGCGCGTAAGGCCCCAAACCACCAGAACCGAACTCACAAAAACCTGTATCCACAAACCGAAGCTGGTAAAATTTAAATCCCTAAACCCTTAATAATTACCTACATTATTTGGGGTTCCTCATTCTAAGTAAAAGTATAAAATACCCCCAATACCCTATTCCAATCATTAAGGCCCCTCTGTTAGAGACCCTAAAACCCTAAACCCAGAAAACACACACAACCCTAGGATCCCTCAAGGAGCCCTTAAAGGAGCCCTTAAAGTAAAAGCCAGAAAGTTGGAATATGATTATCCTAAACCCTTTATGGTAAATTATAGGGTATCCTACCCTGAAACCATATTCCAACTTTCTGGAGTTCCCTTTAAAGGATCCCTGGGTGTACTCCAGCTCGTGGCCAGGGCACGACAACCTGAAGTTGCTGCCCCGATAGTTCCACGTTCAGGAGGTCCCCTGCCTGACCACGGCGGACACTGAACCTAGTTGCTGAGTTCCCCTAAACCCTAAACCCTAAACCGTTTCATAAGCCCCCCAAAAAGTGTACACTTTCAGTTTTATAGCGGGTAATATTATCCCCAAAAGTGTAAAGTGTATCCACTCAGCCACGAGGTGAAAGGGGTGGGACTTCTAAAGCTCAAAATAAAGGTAAGTAAGATCCTCTTAAACCCTATAGGGGAAAAGATAAAAGGTCCCATAGCCCTACCTAGATGTCATAAGGCTAGCACCGGAGAGCCTAGCTCAAACGCAACCTTCACATGAACGCGCCAGTGTTGATGCTGATGCTGACTCTTGGTGGAGGTGACACTGACAATGCCACGGATGATGATCTGGTCTGGCTGGTGTTGCTCGCAATTTGCGTAGACATGTTTTGAATAGTCCTGCTCGCCTGGTGCCAAGTCGGCTCAATTGCCAACTTGTTTGCGAAACTGCCGTTACTGTAGCAGCCAGTACCATGAACTACACCAGACCTGCATGTGACAACGACTTGTGCAACTGTGCGAAGACGGGAATGTGACGACCGTGCCGACAAGGATGATGATGATGATGATGATGACGATGATGATGACGGTGGTGGGGATGCGATGGTGTAGGAACTATGAAGCTGATGAAGAGAAAGGGCAGTTACGCCTGCGACCGCAAGCTAGAGCGCGATCGCCACCGCTCCTCCTCCTCCTCCTCCTCCTCTCCTCCTTCGCCACCGCTTTCATCGTCAGGTCATCATCACCATGGCAAAATCGCACGGGGATTCGAAACGGGCTCGCGGTTATGACATGGATAACTACATCTTACTACCATTGCAGAGGGATGCGACAGGGGGCATGAGAAGCTCCTGTATCAAAGATGATTCCCAGGATCCTTTCCGCCTTGACACCGTCCGGAACGAAGATGTCCACCTCGGAAGCATCATGTTATAAACTGATAGCCGTAAGTCCCTAGACTTTCAGCAAAGCCTCGAAAAAACCACGCCCCGTATCATTTTCTGATCGGCTGAGTACCCTAGCCCAACAAAGGGTACCCCCTTGAATTATGGTAGCATTTTTTAGACCCCCAAAGATGTGAAAGGTTACCTACTCAGCCCCTAAGTTGGGGCCAGGCATTACCGGACCCCGTTCTTGCTTAAGTAACCCTAAACCCCAAACCCCCCAAACCCAACCCCCAAACCCGAAACCCTAAACCCCCCAAACCCTAAACCCTAAACCCAAACCCTAAACCCAAACCCTAAACCATAAACCCCCCAAGCCCTAAACCCTAAACCCCCGTTCTTGCTTAAGGGATTGGCGCCCTCCCAGTCGCTCCAGGGTGGCGTTAACCCCGATACCGCAGAGTGGCTTAGGTTTCCCTTTACTCACTCTCACTGGCCCAAAACCCAAGGAAATGAAAGTTGAAACTTTCAGAATCGACTACCTTATAAGAACCCCGAAAGTTGAAAAGTTGAGTTTACACCCAATATGTTTAAAGGGTACTATTAGGGTTCTATAAGGGTTCCTTTAATAAGGGTTTAGGGGTTTGGGGTTTAAGGGTTTTGGGGGTTTTGGGGGTTTGGGGGGATTTAGGGTTTCGGATTCAGGTCTTGGGATTTGAATCGGAGACCATAGGGGGAGAGACAGCAACTCCTGGATCAGAGGTTTGGTTCATGCCCAGAGAGCCTAGAACCCCTTAATGAAGGAATTATATCTTACATTAGAGTTCTTGTAAGCGTTCCTTTACGAGGCGTATAAGGGTCTTTATAGGGCCCATATACCCCTTAATTGAGGGTTACACTTATAAAATCACAAGGTGCTCCGTCTTATGAATTTAGATACATTTCGTAATTTAGATGTGTTGAGCTCTCTGGGTGGCTCGATGTAACCGACACTCAACTGTGGACCACCAGGGGTGTTTTGAGGTCTTGGGCATTCCTTCGGGGTTTGGGAGTTTGGGGTTCGTAGTTGAGAGTTTAAGGCTTGACCGAGTTATCCCGTGCATAAGCCATAAGCACTCAAAATGATAATAAACCGCTTCTCTATTATTTAAGGACGAAGTTAAGATAGGATCCCGAAAAGAAGTTGTTGTAGGGTATGCAGGTTCATTAACCGGCCGCCTAGTGCAACAAAGAAACTTGGCAACTAAAACAATCAAGGCCTGGCGGTCTGGTAAATGCAAACCAGCCGGGGGGGGGGGCAAATAATACACCAGGGTATCACCGTAGTAAGTTTTACTTTAACTATGCCATGCAGGGACTACAATGACTATACCGTCGTGTAAACCATGAATGTTATTCAGACTTCAACCTTTACAATACGGCTTGGCTTTCTTCAGGTTTAAGTTTGTGTGGTAGCGCTCAGACACCCAAAAAGATGTTAGTTGGCTTCCAGCAATACTAACTATAAAACAACGCTGGGCCCTCACACCTAAAACCCGAACCTGCGTTGAAAACTCAAACCGTAATTCCGACACCCTGCAGTTCTGCAAACCCTAAACCCCAATACCCTAAACCCCAAAACCCTAAACCCCAAAGCCTAGGCCCTAAACCCTAAACCCAAACCCTAAACCCAAACCAATTGCTGCCAGTGCCACGTCCCCTTGCTCTTCCTTGGCCGGACCCGTATTCTGAGAGGCCACGGCGACTTTGAATAGGCTGCCTGCTTAGCAGATCACGGGTGACTTAGTAAGTAGGGTATAACTGGGGCTAAGTATGAGTCCCCTAAGTGGAGTCATCCTAATTATAACCCACTTATAACCTTACTTACCAATTAGATCCCATGAGCCTTTTAGTGGTCATGGGGCTTAGGATGATTAAGGTTAAGAGTTTGGGAGTTTTGGCAGGTTAGGATGATGTCTGGTTTACCATTTAGCCTTTTAGCAGTTACGGATTCTTTGCGTGGTTTAGGCTTTAGGAGTTTTGGAGTTTAGCGTTGTTGT